AAGAAAAGAGACTTGAAAAGTCATACTTTATCTTATATCATCCAGAGCTCCCTTTCAGACCATGACAAAACAATGTCCACAATGTATAAATAGTTAAAATATTTCCATTGTTTCATAGGGGAAAGAGTCAGAAAAATGAATCCATTTCCCAGTTATTTAATATAAGAATTTTAAAAGTTTAAAGTCATCAAAAAAAACCAAAACACTTTTAGTCCTCATTTCTAGGATGAGGGTTTGAGACTTAAAAATCTGATTTGCTATTAAATGTAAGTGGCACCAGGCTCCCATGCAGTGTTGACAGATAGCTCGACCGCACTCGCGAGATGAGTTGTTGGAAGGGATGTATAGGCTTTAGCTGTATGATTGCATCAGGCCGGCACTGCTGCCAGTCCTCACTGTAAACTGTCCGTAAACAGACTCCAGCATCTTCTGTTTTATCTCCTGCCCAATGGATACATTAGGTCAGAGAATGACCACAAAAGGGAAAAACACAACCTTAGAAGGTTGTTTATGCAGTCAGCAAAGTTGCTCAGCAGCTAACAATAGAAAATAACGCAAACCAGTGCCATTATGAACTGAGATTTTTCTTAGAACAGTTTAACTGTCTACTTTTCACAAAGATAAGGCCTAAAAACTTTGAATTTTTCTCTCCAATTTATATATTTTAGCAACTAGTAGTCTATATTGGGATAAACTTAAAGTGAGAATGTCAGGTGGGAGATACAATCTCATTTAACTACATTAACATAGCATGACCAATATTTCCTATTCCTATTTCCACTGTATGCAGAAAACCACTTTTCAACCCCTTTGAGTGTCAGTTTAGCAATTCTCTGGCTTTTTTCCTAATTAAATGTCAGTGTGCCTTTGCAGGTTTTCTTTATCTCCCTTCTCTTCCCCTTCATAGCCTGACCAACCATGTCACCTCTAGTGTAGCCTTCCCTATCTCTTACTTAGGAGACTCTTGCTCCATCAGATGAGACTCCTAAGGTTAGAGAGGGCGGGATCCACACATGCTCTCCCTTCTAATGAGAAGAAAAGGAGAGAAGATGGGTGCAGTGCTAGAAAGGAAGTGGTTTAGCACATGAAATTCAGATGCCTAGTTTTGAATTCTTACTCTGCCACTTATTATGTAACCTTGGACAACTAACTTAAACTCTCTATGCATTAGTTTCTTCTTCTGTCAATTGGGAATAGTGGTACCTGCTTCATAAAGTTATTGTGAGAATGAAAGAAAATAATACATGTAAAGTACAATATACTATAGTGGTTAAGACCATATACTCTGGAGCTAGACTGCCTGGAATTGAATCCCTGCTCCATAACTTAGACAGTCTTTGTATTCATCAGACTCCTCATCTGAAAAAATGTGAATAAAAAATAGTACCTACTTTGTTCTTACTTTTTAAAAAATAGTACCTACTGCATAGGATTGTTGAAATAAATTATATTAAAATATGTTAAATATTTAGGCCAGTGTCTTGCAACTAGCAAAAACTATTTAATAGTATTAAAAGGCTTAGATCAGAGTCTGGCACTCAAGAAATGGTGACTATTTTATAGAGAATTCCCATTTTTTAACAGAATTGTATAAATTAAAAGAAGAAAAGATCTGAGGTTTAAAGAGAAAAAGGCAAGTTTGAAGTAGTATTTGTAGAAAGTAGGAATACTAGCTGAAGAATCTTAGAGGATTGCTGGGCAACATTTTTGGTTTGGTGATTGTGCATCTGTTGTGCTGTTTAGTAGCCCCGTTGAATCATTTTCCTCCAGCAACAGTTACCTGCCCAGGTTCAAGTTTAGATAAAATTGATGGATGAGGCCAGGCATGGTGGCTCATACCCATAATCCCAGCACTTTGGGAAGCTGAGGTGGAAGGATTGCTTGAGCTCAGGACTTCCAGGCTACAGCGAGCTATGATCATGCCATGGCACTCCAACCTGAATAACAGAGTGAAATCCTGTCTCTAAAAAAAAAAAAATTTTTTTTAAGTTGTTGGTTGGATTCATTCAGTGTTGCAATTTTTATGGGCAGATTCTACCAAGGAGATTGAAATGACAGGTTCTGAAATCTAAATTGGGTAGAAAGGGAAGTAAAGACCTATAGGTGAGGGCTTAGAGATAGGGAAGTGGAGAGTCAATGTTTGTTCCATCCAATGAAGTCAAATAATTGTTGTGGTGGAGATTTTTGAGCAAATAAACTGAAAAACATAATAGTGTCTGTTTAAAAAGCAGGTGTTTGAATTAGTCATCTTGGTAGTAGAGCAGTTTCAGGTGATGACACCAGCAAGATAAAATATTTGTGTTAAAAATCTGAGAGCTGGAATACGGAGCATGAAAAAGCAATTGTAATACATCTATCAAAGGACTCGTATCCAAAATTTATAAAGAACAATAAATCATAAGCAAACAACAGTCAACCTAATAGAAAATGGGCAAAAGATTTGCAGAAATTTCACAAAAGAAGTTACTAAAATGTTCAGTGAACACATGAAAAGGTGATAAATTTCATTAATCATTAGGAAAATACAAATTAAAGCCACAATAGGATGCCACTAACCAGAATAGTTAAAATGAAAACGACAATACTACAAACAGCTACAACTCTTACACACAGTTGATGGGAGTGTAAGTTAGTATAGCCACTTTGGAGAACTGGCAGTATTACTAAGGCTGAACATACACATATCCTTGACCTAGCAAATCCACTCCTAGATAGATATAGATACATAGAGATAGAGATATAGACATAGATACACACCCAGCAGAAATACTTGCTTGAACATTCTTGATATCCAAAACTGGAAGCAGCTCAAATAAATTCTATGTTTATACAATGGAATAAGAATGGGTAAATTATAACAATATGTGTGTGTTACATAAATATAATGTGGGAAAGAAGCCAAATACAAAAAAGTACATACTGTATGATTCCTTTTTTAAAAATTAAGTTTTAAAATGGTAAAACTAATCTATGGAGTTGGAAGTCAGGATAGTGGTGACCTTTTGACAAGGGAATAGTGACTGGAGTGGGCCCGTAGGGTGCCCCTGGAATCCTGTTTCTTGATCTAATTTGATGGTTACACAGGTGTACTTTCTTGTGAAAATTCATTCAGCTCTTTGCATATGATTTGTGCATTTTTTTAATCCAGCCCAGGTTCTGAGATCTGATGTGATTTTTATCTATGTATGTTAAACTTCAGTTTAAAAATTACATTAGATCAGAAGGCTTGAGAATTTTGGAAATGATAGTTCACTTTTTCCACTTGGCAGATATCCCTAGAGTTAAAGATTTCATACTTTAAAAAAATATGAGTGTTCACCACGTACTGGAAAATTAACCAGTCATCTGGCTTCTGACCTTAAATTATGTCTTCAGGGCAGCAAAGAACTATCAAGAGCAACAGATAAGTACCTTGGGCAACATACTTTAAAATAATCATTAATTTTCATTAATCTTGCCGCTTCACATACACTATGACAGGTTACATGGACTACGTATATAAGTTGTATTATAAAACTGTGATTTGGCACATGTAGAATCAATTTTTTTTAACTTTCCTCAGAGGGATACATCGTCATCTCACAGATCATATCGGGTGGTTTTAAAGTTTGGTTGAAGAGAGAGTTTTATGTGATCCAGCTGTTAGATGTAAAAGGCAAGTTCGAAGGTGCTTGAATGAGCATTAGTTGTAATTGATGCTTATTGCTTTGACTGCATGTTGGTGTCCATGATGCTGTTTTAGTAACTTAGTGAGTTTCATCTTTGAATGGAATTTGTTTTGTTTAGTCTGCATTGTGCCCAGATTTTTGATTGAAAACCTTACACTTTCGCAGAACATTGCTTTGTAGCTCTTCCCTCTTCTGCTGTTTCTATATCACATGAATCATTGCACATTTAAGCCATCTGCAAGGCCTGAATGGAATGAGATAAAACCTGCCATCACTTAGATTGACACTTGAAAAGCTAGTATTCATTTGGAGTTTATTCCTGATTATCCTTTATATTTTAAAGTTTCAAACTTCGTTTCAAGATGGTGGCTAACATCTCTGAGCCAAAAGTATCTCTGATTCATAGCTTCTTTTAGCCTCAACATTGGGTTGAAGAGGAGGGGATCCCTATCTGTTAGGGACTCAGTTCTATCTCAATTGAGAGAGCGAGAACAGCAAGTTCCACTCCTGTTTTAAAAGTATGTTGGTTTAATCAGTTCAGCAAGCCATCCTGTTTGGCATGTACTTCATAGAGAATAGTAAAAATACAAGGTTCTTGAATTGCCAGTTAGATTCTTTAAATGCACTTTGCTCTGGGCTGCAGAAGAATGGGTTCCCCTATAATGATGTTAACTGAAACTGCATAAACTAGGGAGGAGAGTACAGATTTGTTTCAGAGTGAGAAGCTTCTTCAGTTTTCAGACAAATTGCTCATTGTCAACTAGGTTTCTTTTCTTCATAAATAATATCATTAGAATAATGCTTTGGCAAACTGGTAGTAATAAATTCTAGAACTAATTGAGGGAATGAAATATAAAAATATTCCCTTATTTCCTTGAGAGAGCCTGAGATAATAGACCAAAAAATACAGTGACCTCCACAACTAAATACAACAGACTCTCTATTTTCAAAATAGAAAGATCTCAAAAATAGAAAGCTCTACTAAGAATCTAAGAATAAAGGTACTATTTTTACGTCTTCGGTTATAATAGCTCCATGTGATCTTAGGCAAGTCACTTAGTGTTTCTCTGTCCGTTATCTCCCATTTTGCTAATGTACTATAAATACTCAAAAGACCAAAATTTTTTTGTAGACTATAGCATTTGGAACATAGATAACATCTTTGGGTTTTTGTTTTGTTTTGTTTTTTCTTTGAAGGGACAATTATAATTTTTGCTTAAAGATACCCTGTTTGGGAATGATTCAATGGGCGAGGACTTTAAATATTTTACATAATTCTTGTGAAGTAATTGTGTTTAATTTTCAAGTGTTGTTTATTTCTTTGTTTAGCAGACAGAAGGTGGAGCACAGACAGATGGCCAGCAGTCACAGACACAAAGTAGTGAAAATTCAGAGAGTAAATCTACCCCGAAACGGCTGCATGTCTCTAATATTCCTTTCCGCTTCCGGGACCCTGACCTCCGGCAGATGTTTGGGGTAAGTCTCTGAAGTCCTTTTATGGATTTTACAATTAAAATAGAATTTGATCTACCAAATGTGTTGTTAGTAATTAGTACTTTAGGATTAAGCTACAAATAAATTGAGAAAGATCCTGTGGTAAACCAGGATATTCATCAGTATTTAGAAACCTTCTCCTATTACCTAGTCTACTCTAGACATGGCCTTGCAAGTTGTCACACACATAAGGTGACTGTATGACCCAGTTTGCAGGGACTGAGATGTTTCTTGTTCCTTGAGGTTTTCAGTGCTAAGACTACCAAGATGAGATGGTCACCCCACTCAACCAGCAAATGTAGTAAACATATCAATAATACGTTTAGTTTCACCTAAAAGAGCAACCATACACATTCTTTTAGAGCAGTGATGCACTTGTCTGCACATTGGAAATCATCTGGGAAACTTAAAAAATGTCGTGGCCTGGGGCGGGACTTGGGCTTAGGCATTTTTACAAGATTTGCCAGGTAATTCTAATGTGCAGATAAGTTTGGGGACTACTGCTTATTCATACTGTCACCCTCTTAGTTCGTTCATTGCCTTTCATTTAAGCCCAGCATAATACTACCTTATCTTATTCCCCTCAACTGCAGGAACCAAAGGAACTAGGTCCAGGGATGCACTATTGCCACTCTGTGCTCAGCCTTTGCAATATCTAGGAAGAAACAATGTAGAGAATATAGGTTTAGAGGTGGCTCATTAAAGTAGAATGAGTATGGATTTTGGTATCAAAGAGTCTGTGTTCAAATTCTGTTTGGGTGTGAACTTGGGAAAGTTGTGTGTCTTTTTTGAGCTTGAATATCAGAATCGTATCTATTATAAAAATAAGGATAGTAATCCATACCTTTCAGAGTCTTATGAATTGAATGAAATTATATCTGTGAAGCAGATAGTACCTCAGTGTTTTGTTTTTACTTCCTTGCTTATACTCAGATGTCAAGACCAATATCTAAAGTCAAGTGTAGAGGATGGTTTGCTATCTCTGATGTGTTTCTTCAGCTTTTTACTTCCTCCTGAAATCACCGTCATGAAAAAAGTGTAATAGCAAAGATTTAAGTTGTTGGGAAGTAAATGGCTGCTGAGAGTCTTAATTTTTTCTGAGCCTGTGTTATTGCTTGTTTGAATTTGACCAAACTCTTAACTTGGCCAAGAGATAATCAATAATTTTTTTAAAATTCCATTAGGATAGCTGCCTGATGCTTTGTTAGAAAAGGAAATGCCCTTCTTTAAGTCTTTGCTGTGGCCACTTCATGGTGACAAGACACTGGAGCAAAGCTCTGTCATTAGAGCTCACTACCTGGATGTATTTTCCACAGCTGAAAAGAAGGCCAGAGCTGAGGTTATGATGTTCTTGAAGTACTTGAAGAGCTTCTACACAGAAAATGATAACTATTTGTTCTCCATCTCTACAGAAAAGAGAGCAACAGAAAATATAAAAGGCAGCATAAAGGACTTAGGTTACATAGAAGAAACTTTCTGGGCACATGAGTTATTAGGTTCTCTGCTGAACTGTCAGAACTATTATAATATAGAATCTTAGTCTCCAGGGGTCTGTGAGAATGGAGTATATTCTCATCTGTCAGAGGAATGTTTTCTCTTGAGTCCAAAAAATAGTGTCCATTGAAGATCTGTGTAGACCAGTTAGTGATTTCTTAAAATGTATTAGATCATTAAATATGAAATGTCAAATTTTGAATCAAAAGTGTAGCTTATTATATCTGAAGCAAGAAGCAGTACAGTCAGTAAAGTACATATGGCCTAAACCATCGACACAGTTTTGCCATCTTAACGGTAGCTTGTTTATGCCAGCAGCAAAGAGGCCTGGAGAGCCAATGACAATGAAATCGTGAAAGGCGTTTTCCACAGCTTGTTGAGAATTGATTATTTTTCCTTACAAGAGGTGGTCCAAAGCCTGGAAAAAGTGGTAGTAGGTTGGCACAAGTTCTGGTGAATATGGTGGATGACAGTTTCCAAGTCCAGCTTCTATAGGCTGAGCAGCATTGTTTGTGCAACATGTGGTCAAGCATTGTCTTGCAAGAGGACTGGCCTGTCTCTATTGACCAATCTCAGCTGCTTAATCACACGCATCCTCATCATTTCATCCAATTGGTTTCAGTAGACATCCACTGTAATCGACTGACCAGATTTCATGAAGCTGTAGCGGATAATACTAGCACTGGACCACCAAACACACACTGTTACATTTTTTAAATGAATATTCAGTTTTGGACTGTGTTTCGGCACTTCATCTTTATCCAACCATTGTGCCAAACGAATGCTTGCGATTGTCAAAAAGAATCATTTTTTATCACACGTAACAATACAGTGTAGAAATGGTTAACCTTTATGTCGTGACAGCAAAGAAAGGCAAGCTTTGAGATGATTTCTCTTCTGATGCTCATTTCATGTGGAACCCATCTATCTAGCTTCTTTACCTTGCCGATTTGTTTCACATGGTCTGATAGTGTTGGAATAGTAACATCAAACTTTGCTGCTAATTCACGCATAGGTTGAAATGGATTTGCTTCCATTACAGCTTTCAGCTCATCATTATCCACCTTGGTCTCAGGTCGCTCATGTGGCTCATTTGCAGGATAGAACAAATCAACAGAACAGAACTTCTGAAACCATCGATGTACTGTGCGTTCATTAGCCAGATCCTTCTCAAACACTTTTTTGATATTTCGAGCTGTCTGCGCTGCATTGGTTCCATGACGGAACTCATATACGAAAATAACACGAATTTTTGACTTATCCATGGTTTCACAAAAATTGCTCTAAAAAAAATTTGAAAGATAATCACAAGCCAAACTCTGTGTTTGAAAGACTGAGGACGGTACCTTTACAATAAACATAAAACAAGAAATGTGGAAGTGAAATGTCAGAGATATCAACTGTCAAACTTGGCACTTAAGGAAATCAGACATTTCATAGTTAATAACTGAATATTATTCTCTTCCTATGAAGCATAAAGTGCAAAAGAAATAATTTTTTCCTTACGGGATACCTAGTTGCTTTATTTTCTTCCACATGGTTAATATCTGTCACTTAGAAGGACAGTAGCATTGGTGAAGAGCAGGAATTCCATGCTTCATTTTATTATTAGCTCTGTAAACTTGACAGATTGCTTCTTTCAGCCTCATTTTCCTTAGCCATAAAAAGGAAGGTAGTCCTTACTCCAGAAGGATGTTATATGAATGCATTAGAAAGTGTAAATGAAACAAACTGTAGAGCATCATGCAAATCTTAGTTTTATAGGATAGACATAATAAATAAAATAAAATGTCCTATCTGAAAGTAAGGCATTTTCTTACTTCCTTGATTTTTTTTTTTTTTTTGAATTTTCTATTAAATGATGAAACTGGAATCAAACCCAGATGTCTTACTCTGGAAAATTTGGGTTTTTAATGCGTGTGTTTTTCGTTTTTTGTTTTTTGGTTTTTTTTTGAGACACAGTCTCATTGTGTTGCCCAGGCTAGAGTGCCGTGGTGTCATCCTAGCTCACAGCAACCTCAAACTCCTGGGCTCAAGCGATCCTTCTGCCTCAGCCTCCTGAGTAGCTGGGACTACAGGCATGCACCACCATGCCCGGCTAATTTTTTCTATATATTTTTAGTTGTCCGATTAATTTCTTTCTATTTTTAGTAGAGACGGGGTCTCGCTCTTGCTTGGGCTGGTTTCGAACTCCTGAGCTCAAACAATCGCCTGCCTCGGCCTCCCAGAGTGCTAGGATTACAGGCGTGAGCCACCGTGCCCGGCCTAATGCATATGTTTTGATAAAGATAGTAATGATTCAGTCCAATGGGAAAACATGATTTCAGTTTTCCTCTTTTCATTTTTCAGTTTTTTTTCACATTTCCCAAAGTCTGCTTTGAAATCCAAGTGAAATAGAATGTTGGGTGTGAGTTCAGTATGCAGAAGGAAGTATGAACCAAAAAGATATCTGGAAATTTGGAGCATATACCTTCAAGTCAGTTCACGCAAATATTGATTAAAACAGTTAGTTTTGTCTCCTTATATTAAATATATCCCTCCCCTTCCAAACAATTATTGTATTTTGTGTAACCCCCTGTCAGCTATTTAGCTACCTAACAACGGAGTTAGGCTTTGTGTCTTTAGCTTCGTTTGCTTTTCCAAGTGTTAAAATATTTAAGTAATTACTAAAGAGAGTTGTTATTTAAAATATGCGTCATGTTTGTTGCAGAAATATTAAAGTGGGAAATAGCATGTAACCTATGGAAATGGTAACATATATTTATTGAATTAGATAGTTGTTCATAATCTATTACTAAGTTAAAAAAAAAATACAAGCAATATGTGGAGTGTGTCTGATGTCTAGTGCTTACATCTGTATGCCCGAGGGAAAGCCCAGAAGGCTGTATACTAAAATGATGTACGATGGTGGGACTGCAGATGATCTTTATTTTCTGTTTTCCCTTTTCCTTTTTGTTTATATTTTCTGATTTTTATACAGTGAGTATGGTTTACTTGTATAAATAAAAAAAGTGAGGGGTACAGCCTTTGATAATATATCATTCTGCTTAGTAGGATTTACTTTTTAAAACTGTGACATTTAAAAGAATTAGAGATGCAGTTAGGAAAATTCTCAGTTCTTGTCCATGTTAAGAAGTATATAGTGGGTTAACACTGAATATCTTTGGACAACAGCTTTCCATACATAAAAGTAGATAATACATGAGTGAGTGTATTAAGAAAGGAGTGAAAAAGAGACAACTGTCAGCTTGGTGATCAGGAAAAATCAGAAACTGTTATTGGGACTTACCAACAAATAGAAACACAGAAGTTAAAAATGATTCCTGTTTCAGAAGAGAGTGAAGTGTGTGGATAAAAAGCTGCTCATAAATAAATGTTTTTAATTTTGTCTCTGCAGCAGTTTGGCAAAATCCTAGATGTAGAAATAATCTTTAACGAACGCGGCTCGAAGGTAAGCTCCATTTCAATATCAAGTGTGCTTGATTTCATTTTGAGTTTTATTTTATTTTAAATAGTAAGTATGTGGAAAACATAAGGTATTCGTCAAGCCTGCCTAAAAGTATCCCAAGTATCCACCTTGGGTTAGATTTTCTCTAAAAATAAGCTACCACATGGCCAACCTTTTTTCTAATAATTGTATTGGGAGGGTGATGGGGCAAGAAGCAGAGAAGTTTGAGAGGAGAGAGTGGCAGTTAAAGAACACAGGATGTAGGAGATGATGGTTCTTTATCAGCCTTAAATTTGGCCTAAGCTTTCTTATTTTAAAGGAAAAGAGGGAAGACTGGAAAAAGTGAAATTCTATGAGAATTCCATTCTGAATTCTATCAAAACAATTCAGCTTTTAAAAATCTAACTTCAAAATGGCATACTTAGAACAAATTTAATGTTTCAGTTATTCAGTTGACTTGATCTCTCTTTTGAATAAATTTTGACAAGGCTTAAACACAGTGGATAGTGAGTCAGGAATTCACTATGAACTGATTTACTCCTTTAAGTTATATACAGATAGGCAATCTTCAGGATGTAGACTCAATTAAATTACAAATACAGTGAGTTAGGTTTTTTTGCATAAGAATGAAAGTAACAACAGTGTGCATTTATGTATATATTCTCTTCTCTGTGTTCTATATAAGAACTGAAACTTTTAATTAAAATTCATTTTCCTTATTAATTTACTATTCTAAGTTGCCAATCTATATGATTTAGAATTTATATGTGTTTTAAAAAGTAGTGTTTTTAGGAACAAAGGAATGGCAAAGTCTTAATACAGTGTTGTGAAAAAATATTTGAATTTTGGGAAGTTTTGTTTGAAAGTTTTCTCGCTGCTCAACAAATGAAATATACACCCCACTGAAACACTCAGCCACTACCAAGGCTGTAAATATTTACCTTGCTATTGCTCCATTCAATTCTACTTTCATTTTTTAGGTTAGAGCAACTTTTAAATTAATTTTCATTTGGTCATCTCTGCTGAACTTTGAAAATATTTAATAGTTCTTGGCTATGATTAAATCTCCTAAGAATGTAATTTGAGGAAAAGCTAAATAAAGCCAATAAATGAGCTAATATTTACATCTCTTCAGTTTCATACTCCAAATTTACCATACTTTAGGAATTGATAACATATATACAGAGTCGTATATTATACCTCCTGCCCCCACCTGTACTCATAGAAATGTATGCACTGTTCTAATGCTCCTTATTATTATTCCCTTCCTTTATAGAATGTATCAACACTAAAAGTGTTTAATTCTGACTATAACAATTATTTGTTAATTATTAAAGAGGTTATTATACTTTAAGCTTCCAGTTTTCAGTTAAAACAAAAAAGATTAATATGCCTATACAGAACTTTCTCCAGCACTTGGTAAGTATTTTTTTAAAATGAAGTCTGTTCAAACTGTAACCAGTAAAACTATTTGCTTGTAGTTTCCTCACAATGGATGTCTATTCCTTTGTTGTATAGTTTGCATTTAAATTTTGTGATCCTTTTAGTTGCAAGGTGGGGAAATGACAGCGGTTTATAGATGGGAACCACATGAATGTAAAATAAATACATGAAGATTATTGACCTCACTGTTTATCTAAAGCAGTAGTTTACATATTTTTTGTTTTAAGCGGATACACTTAAGTGATTCTTAACTAGATTCTAACGACTGGAAGTCCAGTATACTTTGATCAGGCATTGAGGACTTGCTCCTTACCAAGAAAATAATTTGATTGAATTATTGTGAAGCAAAGGAAATTGATCTTTCTTAAGGCTTCTTTCATTGACTTTAAGAATTTGCCTACTACCAAATTTTTACCTGAACCAATTACTTGTCTCATGTAATTTTCATTTTAAAATAATGACATAAGCCTTCCTTTTCTCTTTGAGGAATCTGAAAGCATATGCTGCTCCCCTTAGCTTGATGCTGTGTCCTCACTGCCCCATTTTCCTTTGGGCTGCTAAAGAGATGCACAGATGATGTACTAATTGGTAAATGTTTTTAAAACAAAGCACAGAATTCAGAATTGCCCTGGATCTGCCTTCAAGGACTGATAAAAAACCTTGTTTTCATCCTTTGACCTTCTTAACTGTTACCTAAAGTTCTTTCCTGGAATGGGTTCCCCTGGAACTGCTCTGAGGCTCCTAATAGAGATTTATTTTGGAATCAAACTCACAGATGCCTCCTCTGGGATCCACCAAAGATAAATTAATGAGTGCTTTTCTTTTTGCGAATTTAGTTTAGTTTCTCATTTCTTTTATACGTTTGGGGTTGACTATAAAATTACAATGTGTTTTGAAAAGAAGCAGAGAAAAGGAGACTTTATGTGATCCTATTATTTAGTTAAGAGTTGCTCTGAGTTTTAAACAGAGTGCTTTTCTGTATAGAAATTAGCTTTTATTGAATTTTTTTTGAAGTAGTTGCAGAAAAACTAGTCAGAAAGTAATTCTGAGATAAGTAATACTTACATGAAAACAGTATTTAATCAAATTGTTCCAAAACAAAAAGCAACTCTTCACCATATCATATTTTTTATAATGAGACTATTGGCCCAGGGATTCTGCAATATACCCATTTAAAAACATAAGTAAACAATCTTACACTGCGATGCCCACTCCCTCCCTGCTTGCCAATATTCTACCTTTTCCAGCTTGCCTATAGAGTAGAATTGCTGTGCTCCAGAAAGTAGTTGTTTTTTGTTATTGACTATTTTCTTTCTCATTCTTTGACCTTAGAATTTGTAAATTTGGCTTACCTAGATTATGGAAGGCATATATATCATATACATGCATACATATGTATTTAAATTCTTTTATGTGGGTTTTTTTGTCTTTACTCTCCATTCCTTTGTAAAAACAGAGTGAGCTGTATCCAATTCTCTGGTTAATTGAAACAAACACTAGACTTTTGAAAATGTACAATTAGGACATATGATGGAAAATGGTATCCCTGCCAAAAAATTAACAACTTTATTCAAATAGAATCTAGAAAATTAATAGTTTGAGTATATCTATAGCTTTATTAATTCTCCAGATTTCACCAGTAATGACAGATTATTAACACAAACAATAAGATAATGCCTAGGTAGAGTGGCCATATGTCCTGGTTTATCCAGGATAGCCCCAATTTATTCCTGTTATCTTAGCATAATTATTAATAATATCCCTTTTCTCCCTCAGAGTGTCCCAATTTGAACTATCAACTATGTTGTCCTCCTTATGTAATAGATCCTTTGAGTAACAACTTTAAAAACACCCTTTCAGAAGGAAACATGGTACCTCAATGAAAAGTAGAAAGGAAAAAGGGCACCTAGTTAATTAAAGAGAATATTCACTATTGATATTCTTGTGTATCCTTCTAGTCATTTTTCTCGCACAGAATCTTAGAACCTGAAATAATGGTCACCTGGTTCAACCCCCAGTATTCTTGACCTTGCATTCTCTGCTAGAGATGTCTAATGACTAAGAACTTCTTGCTTTTCAAAAGTTTATTACATTATTGAACTTCAGACTTTCCACCATCCTGCTCACTATCACCATAACACCATAAATCATCGTAACAATTTTTGTGATAATTATCACATTTATTACATAAAAGAATATACAGATTCTAACATTTATATTTTTATAGAGTTTTGTCAAAGTGCTTTTGATATAGCTATCCCTTAAAGGGACATGTGTTATAAATCTTAAATATGTAGAAGCTGTTCATCTCTTCAGACAGTGCCAATTATTAAGTCCACTAAAGGACTACATAATAGAGCACAGCAACAATTATTGAGATTTCTAGCAAATTTTTTTTTGATCTTTGTTTTATTTTTGATACATATTAGATGCACATATTTTGGGGGTACATGGGGGGGTATAGTCACATAATCAAATCAGGATAATTGGGATATCCATCACCTTAAATATTTTTCTTTATGCTAGGAACACTCAAATCATTCTAGCAAGTTTTTAATTAACATGGTCTCATTACTTTTCTCAGGTGGATTTCTGGAATAGTGGGGATCTGGGTTTAGGCTGCAGTTAGGGAAGATAAAAAAAAAATCTCTATTCCTATTCCTCAGACACAAGTAACGTGCTGTAATTTCTTACCTCTTACCCTGGCTTTTAATTTCATGCAAAGGGAAATTATTTATTTTCAAATATGGTCAAAATACTTTTTTTGAATTCACACTAAGTAGGCCTTTGTGATTTTCAGTAAAACTTTATAGGTAATGCTGAAATGAAATGTTTTTTATTATACTTAAAACTGAATTAACAGTGCATGTATTTCCAAAGGGTTTAGTTTATTTTTCTTTTGTTACCGTTTTATGGGTTTTGGTTTTATTTTTCTTTTATTTGTTTTTTAATTTCTGTGTTCTGGCCATACCCAGGAGATCCGTCTGCTTTTGATTTCTCCCTTAAAAGTTACATGGTAAATTTTCTTTCTCATTCTTCTGAGATGGAAAAATTCAAAGATTATACAAATTAAAAAATATTCTTACCATACTCATCCTATTGCTTGTTATTTATCGCAGTCTGAGGCCAGACTAAAAAGGTGATAGTTACTTGGCTCCTGTATGTCCTTGATGATAAATGGATGTCAAGGCAGGTGAAGAAATTGCTGTCACACGTTGTAGAAGTTTTAACTACAACCATATACCTAATAAGCATACCATTTTTTGATTTCCAAAAGTCAGCTAAGATAGCTGGTAAGTCACTAATGGTGTGTTTAAATTATTAACATGGGAGGACTTTGGGGACTGAGAACCTTAAATAGGAATGTAAAGCATAGAGACCTACATTGTTCAGTACAGTGGCCACATTTAGCACTTGACATGTGGAGAGTCTAACGTGAGATGGACTCTAAGTGTAAAATATACACCAGATTCCAGACTTAGAACAAAAAAAAGAAAGTTAAGCATCTTACTAATAATGCTTTAATATTGATGCCATATTGAAATGATAATATGTTGTGT